TTTTTTTGGAATTCCCTGCTCGATTAGAATATTATACAGTTTCTGGCGGTCAATAGAATCGTAAGCCTTTTTAAAATCTATATACAGCTGGTGAACAATACCGTTATACTCCAATTTTTTCTCTAATATTTGCCGTAAAGAAAATATTTGATCAATAGTCGAACGATTCCGTCTAAATCCGCATTGGTAGTCTCCGATAATTTCCTCGGCGTATTCCGTGATTCGACTGGTTAAGATTACAGTGAATATTTTATAACATACCGGAAGGAGTGAAATTCCTCGATAGTTATTACAATCCGTCCTCGGACCCTTTTTGTGAATCGGAATAAGAATAGATTCTTTCCATTCTTCAGGTAATTTCTCGTTCACCCAGATCTTTTCAACCAACCGATGTATTTTAGAAACTCCAGCTTCCCCGCATGCCTTAATTAGTTCAGTAGGAATATTATCGATTCCCGCTGCTTTATATGATTTTAATTTACCGATAGCTACTTCAACTTCCTCTTTACTTGGTCCTTCTATCAACGGTTCAGCACTCTGGTACTCAGAAGGAGGACACCGATCATAATTTCCCGTATTTAAAATATTGTCAAAGTGGTCCTTAAACTTATTCAATATGTCAACCGGATCGGTCAGAATATTGTTATTATCATCCCTAATTCCAGACGTTACGGGACCTACATATTTACGTGATCTGTTTATACCTTTGTACATGTCTCTTACGTTATTTTGGATTCTATTAGTTTCTATTTCAATTATTTTATTTTTAAGATACTCCCTTTTTTTATTTTTGAGCAATTTTGTCGTTTCGTTCTTTGAGATTCGGAAGTATTCCAGATTGTCTTCGCTAGGATTATTTAGAGCTTTTAATTTAGCGGCTTTCCTTTTTTCGCACATGTTTAAGCAATCTTCATCAAACCACGGTTTGTTATTCTTATTTTCCTTTTTTCCTAGACACGAGTTACCGACCGCTTTAATATTATCCCTGATCTCTACCCATAACTTGTCAATATCCTCGTGGTCCTCGTCAGGAAGCTCTAAAGCTTCAAACCTATTCTTAACATCTAGCTCGAATTGGTTTCTAATTGATGGATTTTTTAATTTTTCCAAATTAAAATTCTCAAAATCGAAACGGTTTTCTTTTCTCTTTTTTATATTAAGTTTTTGTCGAAGTTTCGCGATTACTAATTCATGATCCGACCCACATTCTGCTCCGCGATAAGACCGTACATTGATTATACTGCTTTGCCAGCTGTGTTGTATCAAGACATGATCGATTTGATTTCGTGTTTGCGAATCCGGCGATGTCCAAGTATATTTATGAATATCCTTACGTTTAAACGTCGTACTTTTAATTACCAGGTTTTTCGAGATGGCAAAGTTTATCAGACGGATCCCATTATCATTACTATATTCGTGCAAACTTTCTTTACCAATCGTCTGAATATAAACTTCTTCCCTTCCTACCTTTGCGTTCGCGTCACCTACAATTATTTTCATGTAGTTTCGCGGTAGTTTATCATAAACCCATTCGAGTTTATCGTAAAATTCACTTTTGACTTCATCGTCACTGTCTTCGGTCGGACAATGTATGTTTATTAATGCGATTTTAAACCAACGTCCCTGAAATGTAGCTACCGAAATTCTATCACTAAAGAATTGTACGTCCCTCAAAGCGGATAGTAATCTACTCCTAATTAGAAACCCGGTACCTAAACAATGATTCCCGCTTCCTCCGTACCAAATAGTGTACTTTCCTTCCCTCATCGAGCCCTCCCCTGGCCAGCGAACCTCTTGCAGAGCCACGACATCCAAATTGTACCCATTTACCTCATTCGCGACCGATTTTAGCCCCCCTGCTGTGTTTAAACTCCTTACGTTCCACGTACCAATATTTAAATCCCTATATTTCAACTTGCGGCATGAATCCCCTAAAGCAGTCCCCACCCGGAGACCCGAACGGGGGACTAGTTTACCTCCGGATAATGAGCGTTTTACCTTAGGGAGATCCATGACTTTTTGTGGTGTTTGGTGAACTAAAGATATGTGAGTAGGGCGTTCAATCCTACGTCACACCCTCCAGCAAGTCTGGTGGGCCCCTACCTCCAGCAAGTCTGGAGGTCCCCTCCCTCCAGCAAGTCTGGAGGGCCCCTCTCATTGTTGGTCAGCGAGTCCATCGGACTTAGCCGGGAGGAACTTTCAAGGAATTTCCACCGACCATCCCCACATCCGCCACCCGTGGGACGCTCCCCATACGCGGTAATGAGCCCGCGCGAGGTTACTTTCAGCATAGATATTATTAAAAATTTCATTAAGGGTTTGAACACTTCTGGCCACAACAGCAATGACATCTGCGTATGCACAGATTTGAATGCTTGAATGAAATATATTTCCCTGCTTATTTATTTATTCTATTAACTACCTTATGTAACGCTAGGTTGAAGAGAGTTGCGGACAGAGCATCTCCTTGCCTTATATCGGTTGATATTGTAAATGTATTACTTACATTGGCAATAAATTTGGCATTGCTATTGATTAGAGGCATCTGGATTATCTTTTTCGGAATGTTGTATTCTGTTAGTGCTTTAATCAAGCTGCTCCTATTAATGCTGTCAAAGGCTTGGGGATAATCAATGAAAAGAACATGAATTGTAGTTTTCTACTACCAACACTTTTCTAATATTTGCCTCATTGCAAAAATTTGGTCGACTGTTCCTTTTCCTTTACAGAAACCACACAGATATTCTCCTAGAATGTGTTCAGCGTAAAGATTTAGTTTCTTCAGGATAATATTTGAGAATATTTTGTATACTACCTCCAAGCGGGATATTCTCCTGTAATTTCTATATTGCAGTTTTTCTCTTTTTTTAAAGATGGGACAAATCAAACTAGTCCCCCACTCTTGAGGCAAGCTTTCATTCATCCATATGACCTCATTGAATTGGAAACATGTGATTTACGTTAAATAAAGTTAGTTTTCTGAAATTATTATTTATCTTTCTTTCGTCACTCTCCGCTACCTTCTGCAACTTTATTTATTTGATATTATTTTTTCTAGTATTCTCCGCTTTCCAACGATATATTATATGTATACCTTCTGACTATTATATTGGGATATTCATTTTTGACATGGATAAGCTTTTTTTCTCCATTATTCAATTATCAAATTTCAAAAGTTGTATTTAGAATTTTTTTTGTAAATACTAATAATGAGAGATATTTAATTAATCAAAATAAATCTAATTAAATGTAATTCAGAGGAAGAAATGTTGACATTGAGTATTTGAGCCCTGTAAAGTGACTTGGATGGGGATTAGGTGATAGATGATATTAAAGACCACTTAATTATACAATGATACATCGTTGGAGCCATTTTTGAGAAAATTGTAAAAATGTGTTTCAACGTTGACATAAAGTGGCACTTCCAATTAGCCAATCATAAGGAAAAAGTTGCTGTAACATCTCAGTCATATACCTATCTTAAATACATAATATCAGTTTCTTACTACTTTTCATTTTTGAGCTAGACCGCTAACATACACACACAGACACACAGACCATTTTTCGGGACTTGGTTATTTGGACTCAAGGTACCTCAAAATGTGTATTTCCGTTGAAAACTCAGATTCAAAAATTTTCATGATCAATACTTTCTCTTACTATATATTACATATATATAGGTAAGTAAAAGTAAAACACTATGTACTTGCTAAACACAACACAATAATAAACAATATTTAGTTTAATGATTTAAATTTAGAACAGCAGTTTCCCCTCACAAATAAGTTTAAATTGCATCAGCTAAAAATATTATTAACATTATTTAAGTCAATAACTGAAAAAATACTATAAATTTAATAAATTAATGATAAAAAGTGATCTTAATTAAATCACTCTTATCTGCCTGAGTTCCCAAACTATTACTAGTTCGACCTCTTTATAACTTGTAAGAGAAATAAAGTTGAGGATATATATATACATATATATATACACTGACAAGCAAAAAATTCCACCCACTTGATTTTTTCATGTTTTCATCTAAAAATATTTCTGCCACTTGTAAAAAAAGTTGTATTTGTAGATAATACTTAGTATTTATGGAATTTTATAATCTTTTTTACCTTTAATAATCAAAATGTGATTGAGTAAGAAAGATTAGAGAAAAAAAAATTGAAAAACGGACCATTATTATTCTAAAAGAAATTAATTACATCACCAGAACCAGCCCTTCTATTGTAAGAACCAGTTTCCCGAAAAAGCCTAACAGCGTCTCGTAAAGTTTCATATGGAACTCCGATGGCATTAGCTGCATATCTAATGGAACGTCCATCATCAATAAGAGCCACACCACACTAAGAGGCATTTTTAAACTTAATATTGAAAAAATTAAAAGCCGGAGACTAAGAAATGTGCAGCAAGAAATGGCAGTGAACTAATGATACTGAATAAACATTTTGATTCCATAGAAAGTAAACATTGGAATCTAGAATCATTTCATTGAATTAAGGGTATTGTTCTCTATATTAACATTCCTAATTGAAAACAAACAAAAAGATTACCTATTTATTCATTAAAAACAATAGACCAATCCAAAGCAGAAATATTTTTAGATGAAAACATGAAAAAATCAAGTGGGTAGAATTTTTTGCCTGTCAACCGAAAGGACTTATTTCCCAACCTAATGTGTTTATTTTCAACAAAACCTGAGCTAAATATGGCAATATACAGTTATCCATGGAAAAAACAGTACAGTCGTAAGTCCACTACAATATGTTCAAAAGTTTGTTCCTTACATTTACTTATAGCAATTGCAAATGAAAGATTTTTAAAGGAAAGTTGTGCTAAGCGTTATAGCCTACAACTTTCCAGCTTGAATGATATTTTTGGCTACTGCTCTGTTTCTATCGGTTGCAGTGTTATATGTTATAACTAATCAAACTCTTGTTTTACTAAACACAAAAAAGATCAAACAAATAAAGGTTTAAAAAATTGTACTAAAATTACTATAAACATTTATTACTTTCTTTCAGTATATATACACTACTTATTTACAATAAAAACAAGTGTTACATTTCATACAATCAGACTTTCTCGTACAAAAAATATTTTTAAAATTATGGGGCAAAAGACCCGTGCTTAATAGCACAAGGACTTTACAATTGAAGGGACTAGACTTAGGCGCCAATAAAGTTGACTCCATTTTTGATTTGGCAAATCCAGCAACAGTGTTGCCTAGCGAGGACCTTAAGTTGTTTACAAGACCTGAAAAAATAATTAATAATAAATAATAAATTGAATTATAATTAATTACAATTTTAAATCTGATTTTTAAGAGTTATGTCTAACCTGTCTAACATGATGCTAGCTTATAGGACAGGACCGACCTTCTAGCTCAACAAGTCTTCCATCGATGCGAAGGCCTCTTATACAGCCTTGGAAACCTGGATAGAGGCCTTCAGCTCCTGGTGGTGATCCTCCTGAAATCCATTAACACCAATATATTAATATTTCTAAAATTAAAGTATTCAAGTTTCTTTTTTTTTCCAAATGAAACTTAATAATATGTATACTTATTTTCCACTAATTAAAGAAAAATTATCTACGGTTGGATGTAATTTATTATATTACGGATGCTCAAACTTTTGTACCACAAAGGGGTTCTTCATATATTGGAGCTACAACAGTACTCCCCTAACCCTGCCTCCTTTAAGTACTCCCCTAACCCTGCCTCCTTTACAATATCAGCTTCACAATAACAATTTCTATACCTTCGTTCCAGTACTAAAGTGGTATATTTAAAAATATTAATAATATTGAATAATAATAACGACACGAGTGAAACAAACTGAATTTAACATGATGTGACCTATATAATTAAGAAATTAGCTTCTTAACATACATAACCATAATTTCAAACCAAATTCTCACAGCTCAAAACATTTTTAAATATGCCCTATGTCATTGCACCAACAATGACATAGGGTATATAATATGTTCAACCAATATTATAGTGACAATATATTATATGATCATATTATAGTGACAATATATTATATGATCATATTATAGTGACTATATTATATGATAGTTTTATTTAAAAATATTTCTCATTTTTTTTAATTTTGAGAACATAACTATTTAATAAAAACGGTTAATAAATATTGTTTATACAATTAAATATATCTACAAAGATAGCAATTTTGTCATATATTTCAAACATGTAAGTCTAAAACATCCTTTAATACCAGAAAGAAAAATTAACTTTTTGTTTCTTTAAATAACAAAATTTAAAAACATATTGGCCAGCCATGAACCAATGCTGAACCCTCATGCCACATTGTAACGTGTGCTTTGGGTTGGACACCCCTTTATTATATTTATATTAAACTGCAAACAAAAAAATTTAAAATGATACTCACCTATAAAATACCTTTTTGTTGTCCCTCGCACACCTGGAGGTAAAGATGTTCTTAATAATCCTTCTCTGTCCACCCTCAATGAGAGGGATTTTTTCCTTTTAAGTGCTGATATTCTGTGCCATCTACCATCTGAGACAATCACCTAACCATACAATAATTTTTAAGTATAGATAGCTTTTCTTTTTTTTTTAAATTTGATGTGTTGTGATGTAGATCAAACACCAATGTTTAAATCTAGTAATAATTCTATATTAGTTTCTTTTGTTCTGAATAAAGTATTTAAAGAACTTGTATTACCTACTAAAATATAAATTTTTAATTTTTCTTACAGCTAAACCTTCGTATACCTCATCAAAAGATAAAGGAAACAAATATTTATATTAACATATACATTTAAATCACCTAGTACTAACATATTTCGCCTGATCTTTAAATTAAAAAAAAATTAGAAACACAAATCTGTATCTAATAACATCTCACATGATAAATTAGTCGAATAATAAATGTTTAATATAATTAGTGATGAGAGAGATATCTATAAGGAATATGGAATATAAAAAAAAAAAATTTAAAATAGTGCAGATCCAGATTATTAAATGCTTATCTATATAAGAAAGAAAAAAATAAGTAACAATAAAAAAGAAAAAATTTTGTCTAAATTTGAGGATATTGACAAATAATTTTACAAAAATTTAGACAGGTGGTAATAATATATACAAAGAAATATTTGAAAATGTCCTAAACAAAAAATATAATTTTTTAATATTGAAAAAGAAAATTTTTATTTATTTATGTATTTTGGAATGAAAAATGGGTCCAAAATTTTGTTGATTATTGTTACTTATATGATCATAAATTAGCATTATTGTATCTCAAACTAATCATCACGGCACTACAACTCGGTGACGAGTCTTGCCCTCCTCCACCAGCTTCCTCCAGGCATGTCTGTTCTGTGCGGCCATAATTCAGCTCCTGACTCCCAGGACATCCCTTGAATCTCTTGCCACACCGTCTGACCATCTTAGTTTTGGTCTTCCTCGTCTTCTTGTGCCGTACAGAGGTTCTGTCAGGATCATCTTAGAAATTGATTCATTTTCCATCCTTGCCACGTGGCCAGGCCATCTCAATCTTCCAAGCTTCACCCTCAGAATAAAATCTTGATCATTAAAAATCGAGTACATTTTAGAGTTTGTCTGCCTTCTCCAATTTCCATCGTTCTGTACTCTGCCAAATATTCTCAAATATTAGGTGGTCTTGCTCAATTTTTTTTAGTTGTCGTCCATGTTTCTGATGCATACAGCAGGATTGGGCATATTAGTGTTTTGTAGAGATGCATCTTGTTCTGCCGGATAGAAAGCGAGAGGTGAATTCCTTGAGAAGGGCAAAGAAACACTTGTTAGCCATCAATATTGTTTTCTTTACTTCGAACTCAGGTGCATTGTCTTGTGTTACCAGCGACTCCAAATATTTGAACTGCGCCCCTTTCTCAAAGTTAAAGGGGCCAATATTGATGGTCTCGCCTGATCGAGGGACTTCTCCTGTGGTCATATACTTAATTTTGCCTTCATTCACTTCTAACACAAGTGCTCTGGCGGCCTCCAACAAAGCTAAAAATCCCTCTCTGACAGACTGCAACAACCGTCCCACAATGTCCACATCATCCGCATAAGCTAATACCAAAATCCCTCACTGCCTTTTCAAGTGCCAAGTTTAACAGAAAACATGCATCACCTTGGCAAAGTCTTTTTGTTGAGAAAAAGTCTTTTGTCCTTTGGAGACCAACCTGCACAGTACACTTAACATCTCTCATGGTCAGCTTTACTAGTCGTATTAGCTTATCTGGGATATTGAACCCTTCAAGTGCCTTGTACAGTTCTTCCCAGTTAATGGTGGGTTTTACCAGAAAAGATGGTAGGTTTTAATCTGATGTTCATTTCTTCTCTCTGGGATTGTTCTAAGGCAGAATATTTGGTCTTTTGTAGACCTTCCTTTGTCTAAATCCGTATTGTTAGGGACCAAGCTTCTGCTCTGCAAAGGGTAGAAGACACTGGAACAGAATGTTATATAAAATCTTGTATCCAGAAGTGAGAAGAGAGATCCCCGTGTAACCTTTACACTGGAGTTCGGTACCTTTTTTGAAGAAAGGACATGTAACTGACTTTTTCCAGTCTTCTGGCAGAACCTCTTCCTCCCAAATGGTCAAGACTAGATTCTGGAACCTTTTAATCAGTTCCTCACTTCCGTTCTTGAAGAGTTCAGCAGGCAGGTCATCAGTTCGAGGTGCCATTTATTATTCTTTAACCGATTAATGACGTCCAATATTTCTTCATCATCAGGTGGGTCAAGATCTGATCCCTGGTTCCTGACTTCCAAAAACAAATCCTTTCTTGTGTAAGATCCAGTGTCTGTTCCACAGGAGGCTGAGTTGAGAAGCTCATCAAAATGGCTTTTCCATTGCAATAGGATGTCACCCTTGTAGACTACTGTATTCCCATCCTTGTCTCTACAGTTTCAGGTACATTTCCTTGAGGTCTTCTCTTCCTATTGATGATCCCTTGATTTTTTCTCCTTCCAGTATTTTTCATCCCTCCACAATTCATCCTTCTCTCTCTGTCCTTTCTTTCTTTGATGTAGTCCTTTTTCCTCTCTCCTCTTCTCTTGATATTCCTCGACAGCTCTCCGAGTCCTTTGTATCAACATATTCTAGTATGCTGCATTCTTTGTGTTAGTAGCTGCCTCACATTCTCCGTCAAACCATGGTGTCCTCACCTTTTTTTCTCTCGGTCCTAGTACATTATTAGCAATTTCCTGCATTGCGGTCATGCAGCTGGACCAGAGGGATTCTATGTTTTCTGTATTTATTGCACAGCCTGAGCATGGAAGTTATCATCTAGTTGCTTAGTGTAGAGCTGTTTGGCATCTGGCTCCCATAGCTTTCCAAGGTTATACTGCTTAGATTTTATAGCTGGGCCTCCAGACCTTTTGAAGGAGATCCTAGGAGTAATGTGGGCAATGTACAAAAAGTGGTCGGAATCCACATTAGCGCTTTGAAAAATGAGTCCACAATTTTTTTTTATTATTGTTACTTATATGCTCATAAATTAGGATTATTTCATTCCACCTTTACATAATATATAGTGTATATATATATATATATATATATATATATATATATTTTTTTTTTTTTTTTAAATGTGTGAACAATTGAAAGATGAAAAAAATATGAATGAATAATATTGAAATGGTAAAAGAAATCACCTTGGAAGCCAACTCAACATCGTAAGCCACAAATCGAATGCTACTGTCTAAGATAATTAGACCCCATAAGCTTTTTCCAGCACGTCCTAGGATAAGTGCACCATCTTGACCTGAACTCTTAATTGAAACTTCTATTCTCATAACTCCACGCCTTTTATGCCGCCTGAAAGCATGTGCTCATTTAGTTATAAAATAATCATTTTAAATTAATATAAAATGTTAACATTATAAATATTATCATAATATACAAGATAAATAAATATACATAAATAAAAAATGTAGACTATAAAGTATTGAAACTTTTACGCTATGCTACTCATGTTAGAAATGGTTAATATTGTTAGTACATACTCATCATATTGAAAATTATATTCTTCATACTCTTCTTCATAATCCTCCTCTTTCTCATCAGTATAATTTTCTTCATAATCTTCATAAAATTCTTCTTCTGTTTCAGTTTCACTATAGTTAATATTAGGGTTAGTATCTTATTGGTTAGTGATTAGAAACAAATGTTTTTTAAACAAATAAATTTTACATTGTAAAAAAATAGTAATATAATAATATTAATGTCAATAAAAATTTCTTAAAATTTTATTTTGATAGTGAATAGATACTTATATATGATAATTATTCATATCTCATGTCTAAAAAGCCATAATTATGTAAATAGAATATACGAACTTCTTAAACCGTACATTACATTTTTCCCATTAAAATATTTGAATGGATGCCCTAAATAAAAACCATGCAAAATTGTGAATGTAGTTCCCAAGATCAGCTATTCGATTTACCTAAATTATAATTTTTCAATGGAGTGTATATCGACCAATTTTTTTCTGAAAATTATTTGTGCATTTCATGATTTGGAACTACTAAATACAGATCTCTAAAGTTATATAAAATTATATATTGAAAAAATATAAAAATATAATTTCAGCATTCATAACTATCATTAAAATTATAAAACTTTCTATGGCTTCAATAAAAAAATCAACTCCTGACAAATTTCTGTACAAAACAATAAGCATAATCAAAAAGTAGATCAAATAATGCATTAATAAAAATGCTGAATATTTTAAAATGATAATTTCCACTCGTAAGATACAATGAAGGAATGAATTTGTTTAAAACTTGCAAAATATCCAAATTATTTGATCATGAAAATAACTTTAGTTAAAATTTCAAGGTTAGTAATTATTTTTTAATAAAAATAATTTAAGTTAAAGTTAACTGCTTCACTGATTAAAATATAAGTCTTACTTCTTTTTCAGATTTTTCTTGGGATACTTGATGATGGTGTTGCCATCGAAATGGACTGCTTCATCTTCAACAAGACCTGAAAAATTAAAAAATAACGTGCTCCAATAAATCATATGTTTGGTACCATGGTGAATTAATGTATTAAAATAGCTATTAACACTTTACCACATCCTTCGCAGAGAGACGAAGAAGTAGCATTCGGTGAGCAAAATGCTAAAGTACATGGTCGAGCTCCCGAAAGTATCAATCGGTGACCGTTTACTGTGAAAGTTTTCAATGCTCCATTGAACACAGGCCATTCCTCAGCATCACTATAAAATGTTAAGGCATTATTTTAAAAATAAAATCGAATTGAGAGTAACTTGGCCGATGTAGTAGATAGCTTAATCAGGAATTAATTGCATAGTAAACCTGACGAACTATTGTTACTAAACCTATATTTGAATGGAATAAAAGACAGGTGATGGATCTTTATCAAAAATGTTTTGTTGACTTAAAAAAAAATATATATTACTCCCTAATTCGAAAACCTGGTTCAGTCTATATTGGCTATGTTACTCCTATTTCTGGAAGTTCTGACTATATTTCCCTTATTTTTTTATACATTTTTTTTATTTTGTTATATTACCTCTTACCTCACAATTTCTGGCATACAAGGGGTCCTATAGGTACAACCAAACCTAATCTGACCAGAGTGGGAAGGGATTCATTCCATGGGTCTTCCACAAAATAAATTTCAACCATCCCCTAGGCTGGATTCGATTAAGTGTCCCTAGACTCAAGGATGTAAAAGTTTATGCTTCAACATGCTCGACCTTAACGACCTCCAATTGTTTCCTTATCTGACTGATCGTAATATTTCTTTTGTAAACTTAATTATCTTAGGATGTGATGGAGTTTAGCTTATTAAGATGGAGTAAGCATATCACCCAATGTAATGATTTTATAAAATGTAGTTTAGTTTATGTAAAACAATTATTTTTAGGAATCAATACTGTAAACCAAGTCTTTAGGTTAAAAAATATATATATAATTTTATAATACTAAGATTATTGTAAATTAATGCTGTAAAATAATAATTAATTTATTAACTGTAATAAAGAATTTATTTGTCTATTCAAACCAATACTAAACAAATTTCAGCGGATTGCAGGAAAATATTGAATCTATGGTATCAATACAAAATATTTGTATTATTAACTGATTTAGTAACTGGGATTGGAAATATTAAAATTTGTTTAACCCTATTTCTTTAACTACTTCTACTGGAGGTCATGATTTTCAGGCATTGACATTGATCACATAAGTTGCTCTGACATTATTAATCCTCCAAGATCACTAAATCTTATTAGTATAATATACATAATAATAAAATAATAATTACATAATTTTACATATTTTTTTTAATTCTCAGGTGCAGAAAGTTATGCAAGAAGTCCTATGTTGTATTTTTAGTATAGCAATAAATGTACGCTTTGATAAAATTCAATTTATAACTTTTATTTTCATTCATTATTTTTCTAAACTAGACAAATAAATAGTCAGAAAAGCTTTGCAGAAGTGAGAGAGTAAATTGAAACTGAACTACAGATATCAGTGATTTATAATAAATCAAGTGCCAATGGTCTTCCTCTATTTATTTTATAGCTAATGTACGATAAGTATATATGTTTAATACTCACAACGGAGGAGCTCCAATATAAAGAGGATGATCTAAATTAAGCTCAAGATGATGTCCAACCGAAACGCCGCGGTAAATCCGCCCAGTATCTAATCTTAAAAAGCCTTCTTTGTCAAGTCGACTTAGGCGGGCTGTATGCCATTCTCCTGGTTCAATTTTTTCTTTTGTTCTAAAACAAATTTCTTAGTGAATAAATTTTAGATATTTTCATTGTTTATTATGAAAAATAAAATTAAAGAAAATATATTTAATTTCTTAGTAAAATTTCAATCATCATTAATAAAAATGAAATAACTCCTGAATAATTCAAGAGTTTTCCTGATTCGAAATATCTGGGGCTGATTTTATAGCTTCTTCGTGATTTTGAAAATTACAATGGGTTAAATTGGTAGCTACAATACATAATAAAATATCTAAAAAGTAAATTATGTAATTTTCCATTCCCTTGTTAATTATAGAATAGAAAATATGTTTCGCATGAATCTGAAAAAATACACAGGCACTACTTATATTAAAATAATAACATAATTTTGATTAACTTACACAATTGATACTGGATTACCACCAAGACTGAAAGAAAACACTAATCTTCCTTCTGAAAGTTTCAGAGAAATAAAATCTCCTTTGTTATGCTGCCCTTGGCCATTATAGAGAAGGGTGCCATCAGTTGATAACGTTGCAAATGAAATGGATAGAGCAAAAGCTCTAGAAACACCTTTAAATAGAAGAAAAGTTTATTTAAATATCAGTATATTATTTAATTTAATTAAACTTGTTTGAACTATTTTAATACTTAATTGAATATCAGTATATTCTTTAGTCTAATTAATTTTTTATGGACAATTTTAATACTAAACTAAATACCCTGTTGTAACATTAACATTTAATGACCATGAAAGCAAACCTTTCAGCTCATGCTTGAGGGCCTATATAGGTATATATAAAGAGATAATGCTTAATCTTATTAATTTATTTTTTTATAACTGAGGCTATTCAGTTATAACATGAGTTTGTGACATTTTTCAATCATGAATAATATTTTATTTATTTATTTTTAAGGAAAAGATGTTCCGGGAATTTGAATTCCAATATATACAATAAGTGAGACTAATTGGAATTTCCTGATACCTTAATATCTAAGCCTCACTGTACCCTTATACTCCTCTAGCAATGTCCTTGTTTTTTCTATCTTTTTTTTAAATTATCATACATTAAATGTCAGCAATTACTACAAAAAATTGAATGTCAATCATGTTTTCATGATAAAACCATCATTATCAACAGTTTTTAACTTCAATTATAGTACATTTTGTACTATTGTGTTGTTTATTTATTGCCTTATTACCAGAACAATTGTATATTTTATTTCTATTATCAGTTAATCTTCATATTCTAAATTTTTCATTATATCAGATGTCATTACTTATATACATGTGGTATTACTGGCAAGATGATTATAATATGTTGTTATACTATGTTTATTATTGCTTTAATTACATTTTCTGTTATTACTTAATCAGTAAGTATAATATATAGCATCTCAATCAGGATAATATATTACACTAATGAAAATAAAATATATTATATTTCATCAATAATAATATAAGCTTTATGATACATTCTTAACCTTTTAGTTGTGCAGAGCCTTAATCAAGGTTTGGTGCTTTGCACGCGGGATACTCAAGATCTAGGCAACTCTCTGTGAGCGGAATTTATTCACTGAATTTTTCCACATTAAAATATGATTTTTTCTATAACTGACTTATACATTTTTATTTAATATGATGTTAGCTCATATTTCAATAAACAATTTAATATATATATATATATTTTTTTTTTTTTTTTTAATTTTATAATTTATTAATTATCCTACATTACTTTTACATTATACTGCAACATTTACGTTATTTTTTTATGTATTCTAATTTTTTTGTTGGTACCTATAGAGTCATTATTTTTTTATTCATCATTTGAAATGTTTTATTTTTTTTATTAACCTTTTTTATTATTAACCAATTTCTGATACGGAAAATTTTTAAAAATGTTTCATTGTATGGTAAATTTTATGTCAAATGATTGAATTCAAAACAAAAATTCATACTATCGAAAAAAAAAATTAAAATATTTTTTAAAAATTAAAAATATTTTAAAACTCATTTTCAACTTTTCCACTTCAAAACACTACCAACTGCTGTTAGATTTAGAGCTGAGACTAGAGGAAGGTGAAATAGAGGTGGAAGAAGTAGGTATAATACATATACCCTGCAAATATATAATACATCTCACGATATCCAGTGGTTCCAGCAACAACCTGCGACTCATGGGGTTCCCAGTAGAGAGCTTTGTAACGAGCCAGAGTATTGGTTTTGTGCAACTAAATGATAAAGAGACACCAGGGGCTTGTTTTTTCCAGAGCCACTATATAGGGGGATTGCACTATATGGTGTCACAGCCGGCCAGAACCATTGTACTGATTTTGTACATCTAGAGGGTTAATAGATCATAAAGCCTCTCCTATGGAGGTAAGAGTCGGGTTTTAACAAATATAAATTATAAATTACAATTTCTTCCTTCAGAATAACTTATAAAAATATAATTACCTTTAAAAAACACAATTAACGCAAGTTTTTAATTTAATTGGTATTCATTATTTTATACCAAATATCTCTATTTATTGCCACTGTTGCCCAATTGTCACCGCCTCTCTGCAACTTCTAAATGGTCTTCCTTGTTTTTCTTTTTATTCATAGGAATCCATTCCTTGCACATTTCCGACCACCTTCCTGGGTCTAATGTGGCTACATGATCAGCCATCTCCATTTCAATAAAATAGTTTCTTTTGCTAGGCTTTTCAGCTACAGCTGACTTTGAATTATATTGTTACTGATCCTATCTTTCCTCTTAATGCTTCGGGAGAACTGAAGTATTTTATCAATATATATATTATATTTCTATTAGTTTATATTTCACTACTCTATCGTTCATTACTGAGACATTTCAACTTCCTTATTACGTGGTTTAATTTATTCTGTCCTATATTTTTTTCATTTTCTACATCTCATTTTGATCTTATACATATCAGTTCTGTGTCTTAATTTCAAAATGAAATGTTTACTTTGTTTATTTAGCCATGATGTCCTGCAAAAGGGTCAGAAGGAAGGTACAAAAAATTTCACCTATTTGTGTGTTTAAGAGTGGATCTGGTAGTAAGCCTCATAGGGGCTCTGGCAACAAGGAACCCCTAAGAGGGTAAAAGAAAAACATGGGTATTTTTAAACTTTGTAATATTTTTAAAATGAATAGGATCTAATTTTTTACCTATTGGATACTGAAAATGTTAAAAATAAATTAATCTTAAGACTAGAAAAGAAACAAATTTGCAAATCATTCAGATTTTTCTGATTAGAAAAATGTGCTGTGAATATAATTTAAAATCACTTAATTTCATTTTAAATTACCTTCTAATCTGGGTAGAACGAGAGGTTCAGGGCCTATTTCAACAGGTTCAAGTTCCTCTGAAAAATTTTTAAAGATAATTTTAAAATATATTTGAATATAGTGCATTCTATAAAAAAAAAATTAACCATCAAATGCATAAATGCAATATATGTAATGAGTAGGAAATCTTGTGGTTAAAAAGTATATGTTTGCAATTAATACACAGAATAATAAACAGTAACGAGTGTGACCCACCTAATGCACATGGTGCTTCTCTCGATGTACACACACAATCAAAACCACCTCCTTCGGTGGGTGTACACTCAGTTCCACCAATACATATGGAATAGACGCAAGGATTAAGTTTTTCTTCACAGTGTTTTCCTAAATAAACAACAGAATAGATAATAGTTTATAGAACTATTTATCAGAACTATGTAGGAAAAAATATATACATAAAGCAGTGACACAGATGGAGTATGAAAAATTGTATACTAAAATATTATTTTGTTATTTTGATCTTATAAGATTCTTGCCGAAATGATATGTTTTGAATATTTTTTCCTAGTAAATAAAATGTAAAAAGAAAGGTGTCCAGTAAAATGTTTAATTTTTTAAATCAAGATTTTTATGGAGTACTTTTATGACCTACTGATAAGCTGAAGCGATCTCTCATAAGATATTGTTTTAAAATACCAAGTTACATAGTTGAAAATTTTTTCTAAAATTAGATGAGTAATCAAGCCAAGTATAATGCTATAACTTGACTATGATAAAAAATTTTTTTTTTCTTAAGGAAAAATATTTTGATTTAGTATACTAAGAACAGAAAAATATTTTAACTGACCAGTGAAATCTGGCTGACATGCACAAGTTGGCTTTGGCAATGAGGCCACACATGAGCCATGGTTGTAACAAATGATTCCACGACATGGGTTATGAAGACACGAAGAACCAATCATATGACTTTCCTCAGGAGCAAGCCCAGGCGTACGAAGGCAACCAACTAAGCCCATATTAGTTCCAGCGTTCTGAAATACCCTGTAAATAAATTGAGCAATATTTAGATGATCTGAATCACAACAGATTATTATATATTAATGTTTTATTTTTATAAGAAAATCTGAAACCTTTATCAACATTCTATCCTAGTGAAGCAAAATTATAATATATAAAAAACTTAAAAATACTAAATGTAGTTACTTAGTAAAATTTGTAGGAACATAACCGAGGTAGCCATGGTCATCTAGATCTAGACCTGTTAATGTTCCTTGGCTCTGTCCACGAACACCCTGTTCATTATCAACTTGAAGCAAGGCATCTCTTTTGTACCTCCTAACCTATAAATTAAAATAAGTCCAAATAGTAAAATAAGTTTTATATAATGGTAGCATAGTAAAATAAGTTTTATTTAATAGTAGCAAAGTAAAATAAACTAATTTAAAATTTGTAACTGTTTTACTCATTTAACAAGAATCACAAAATAATTTTTAACAATTCTAATCAATAATGAGGGAATCCGTAAGGTTACCATCTCCATGTTTATAATTAGTTTTAAAAATTTTATTGTTAGTTTACATATCATGAATATCAATCTTTTTTTTTATAACTCATCTTAACATGAGGAAAAGCTATATAATTCATTTTAAATTCTATTGAATTAGTAGTGGAGTGCACACTCAACCTCTGCTAAATAGGGACCTGATTCTTTATAGACGAAAAATGTGGAGGTCATCAATTTGATGAGTAGAGCGGGGTAGCTCAGGAGTACCACACTGTGCTCTTATTCTCAAGTGGCTACGTTCGAGTCTGGCTGTGACAGATAATTATTTATTTTGTTTCATCAGCCATCGATAAAACCTGGGGTCAGGATACACTTCTGTGACACACCCAATTTTTTGTTTAGAGTGGGGAAAAACCTGTCATTTGAGCGTGGTCTCGGTCCAATTACCTCCCTTCACAATCATCGGCCTAAAAACAGTACTTCTTCCTTACAAGTACTGAACAAACAACCTTTATAGATAGTAGTGGTACTATTTTTTATTTTTTTATCGAATATTAAAAGAATGGATTTCCTAAGAGACTTTGTGTATGCTAAAGTTTGCTATATTTTTATACATTGGTATTAAAAACTGTTATACATTGATATAAAAATTTTAATTTGGCTTAAATTATAATACTAAGTCACTCGATATATTGAGTTGTGGAATTTCAAAATTTTTGTTCTATATTCAAGATTAAATTATTTACAATTTTTTTGTAGAGCCATAATATTTTCTTACTATGTTAAAACAATATACAAAAGGAATGGATGAATAAATGAGGTGTTTAAAATATATTTGAGTTTTAAACTAAAATACTGACTAATTTCAGAAAATGAGGTATTTTCCGAAACTAAGGTCCATTCATTTGTCATTCATAAAAAAAAAAAAAAATAATAATAATAAAAAACTTATGATAAAATGTTTTTATTGACAGTAACATTTTACAACATATCTACTTTTCTTCGACATACTCGCTATCGATACGCTTTCTATAATGCTGCATCAGCTTCTTTAACCCTCAGAAGTTTGCAATCTGGAAATTTAACCAGTTGGTATTATCCGTCTCATTCATCGTTATTTGGTCTGTCTGAAAATTTTGGTTCACTTAATCATTGATGTTATCGGTCAGAATACTGGGCCTGTCAACCTGCTGTTCATCGTGCACATTTGTGTTGCCATTTCGAAATTCTTTTTTCTTTCAATTTTTAAACTTGTTTGTCACTCCTTATTTCAGGTCCATGCACTAGGCATAACTCACGGTGGATTTCAGCAGCTAAGATCTTTCTAATCACATCACACACTTCACAACTGTCGGAACCTATGAGTGTCTCAACCATTGTGATCTGATCTCACCGACTGGTAAATGACTACTAAATTAAACCAACACTGCAGTATTTTCCTAAAGAGTTGGTAGACAGAGCTGCTTGCATGAAACTTCATACAGGTCTACCATCACTTAAATTTTGGTCACTTGACCTTAGTTTTGGAATGCACCTCAGTAACCCCCATCATGGAGTTTAATTTACTTTAACTAAATTCTAAGCAGCTAATTAGAGGAAATTTAAGTTCATAGTTGTTTTACAAAAAAATTTGTTTACAACTACACTTAAATCTGTGACTTATTTGATTTACGATGTCATTAATTTGACTAACCGAAATTGTTTCAATAAAGCATTTCTTTTTTCATTTTCTTCCTAAAGCATAAGATATTCATTTAACAAACCTTAACAGAATGCCATGTACCAAGTGAAACTCTTCCAAATGACGGAACATTAACAGTCCCTGATCCTAAGTTGTAATTCAGAACAACATGCCTGTAACCATACAAATATATGAGTTACTAATTTTATTATGTTTCTCTCATCCTTTTTACAATTTATGAGTTAAGTGAATACTACAATTTACCAGTATAAATTTGAATATTTCAATTAACATATACAAGATATAAATGCCTACTTATATTTGAATGAAAATATTAATCTAATATAATATCTGTCTAAAAGTGGAAGACTTAAATATTTTTCAATAAAAACCTGATTTATAGAAAAAATTCTTGATAAACTTTCAGCAATATTAATACTATTCACAATGGAGGATAAACAACGCTATGCCATTACCCATTGACAAGTGCAAGAGATATGAAATCTCCAGTTCCATCTTGATGCTGTTGAGTATAGAAAAGTATACCATCCATATTGTGAGAGAGAAATTCAAGTTCCAAGTTAAATGTATGATGAGCTTTAAGTTTTCTCAGTCTCATCCAAGAGTGTCCAGTGAATGAGGGGCTTTCTTCGGCTAAACAAATATTTAACACTTGTTAAATCTGTAAAATTTAAAAAAAGTAAAGATAAATATTTAAATACTCACAGACACATCGACCCTGAGATTCTTCATGGCCTGGTTTACAAGAACATGAACCACGCAAGCACATGGAAGAATCAGTTGTACAATCAGTATCATAACTACAAGGCTGGCCAAGACCAGATCCTAATTCAACACCAACAGAAGTAGCATGACCTTCCACCACGTACACATCTGGAAATAATTATTTTTTAAATTTATCAACAATTGCAATAATGAATTTTATTGCTGTTTTATCAAACCATCTCACCACAGTGAATGCCATAAAAATAAAACATAAGCCTTTGGTTAGTTTCAGAATATGTTTTTGAAAACATAATGTTACCACCATAGAATAAAAAATCACTTTTTTTCTAAATCATTGAAAAGTTGTATTTGAGTAATAGATATAACCATAGTCCAAATTTGTATGTAATAGAAAACATTTTATGACTTCCAATAAATTAGTAATATGTAATCAAGAACACTATAAAATACACCAGAGCTTTAGAAAAAAAAAATTTTTTTTTTTTATTTATTTATATGATATTTACAACTGTACACAAAAAATACATCTAGTAAATTCGCACATGGATATAATGACATGAAACACATGTTGAGAAACTACCCATTGGTAGCACAAATAATGTCTATATTAGGAGATCACGTGGCCATCTTATTTTCAGACGCCTCGGAGGGTTATCAGGAATTGAATAGGAAGCAAGGTTAGAAACAAGAGGGTTGGGATGGTTATGAAGTTTATTATGGAAGGACAGATATCTGGATTGGGCCAAGTCTGATACATAAGGAACATTAAGGTCATTATGGATGATTTTATTTGTAACAAAGTAAGGAGCATTGAGGATTTTACGAAGGATTTTGGATTGTAAGGATTGGATATGAGAGGAATTTGAAGGTTTGGTGGAGCTCCATAGCTCAACTCCATAAGTCCAAATAGGCCTTATTATAGTCATGTAAATGAGTCTTTTATAATTAACTGGAAGGTTAGAGCGTTTGTAAAGTAAGTGTTGAAGTAGTCGGAAACGTCGAGCTGTTTCTTGTCGTTTCAGTCTGGTATGAGGATTCCAAGTTAGACGTTTGTCCAGATGGAGTCCTAGTAGAAAAAATTAAGCTAGAAATGATGAAGTAATAAGCAAATAAGAATAAAACAAATTGTATAATTTCATTAAGAAAAGAATAATAGATTTTTCTCTACCAATAATAGAATATCAGCAAAATATTCCATTTATTGTATACATTATACCACCAACTATACAATGCTTAGTAATCGCGATTTGCATAAATTTATTTCATAAAATGAAAAAAATACAAGAGTGTGTAGGGAATAGACTCCTAACGACCATACCCAGGTTCAATTCATTTATTCAGTTACACTAGCTGTGAAAAGATTTTGGAGTCAGGGTACCCAGGGCAAACTAGCTTCTATAAAGTAGGTGTCTGATCCTACATAAAACCAGAGTTAAGAATGTTCTTGGCCAAATAACCTCCTTGAATTGGTCAACAAATAATACTTTACAAAGGAACCAACCTAAGACTCTTCTTGAGTTGAATTGGTACAGGTATTATGTTTTTCGAGTTAAAATGGACAAAGACAGTAAATTTCATTTAAAATCACACAAGTAAGTTACAGAGGAATCACAAAATGTTCACACAGCATAATGCCCTAATGTATAAAATAAATGTGTTGTATTTTTCTTATTTATTAATAATTTTTCTTGATGCAAAATATATTTATTTACTTTTTCCAATCAATGAAAGTTTTTTTTTTTTCATTAATTCTATGTTTCATGTGGCAAATTTTAGATGCAATATTCACTCTCTGACAACACCCATTCAATATTGAAATCATGTAGAAAAACAAAAAAAGTATTAACCAAGAATAATTAAATTTCTTGATTATAGAAAATAAAAATTATATATTTAAACCCCAGACATGATTTACAACAAAATATAAACAACTTGAACTTAAAAATGATTACAATATAAGAAAAGTTGTACCTCTGTTTCTTCCTGGTAGGTGATACTTGTCAGTAAGAAGATGCCTAGTTGATTTAGATAATGGAGAAGCTATATCATCAGGCAATGTGTACTGGCTGTAGGAAGTCCATCTGCGAACAGGTCCTTCAGTCCCACCAATAGTTTCCTCACCTTTATCAAAGTAAACTGTTACATAATTATAACTTCTGCATTTGAAAATATATCATTTCATATAATAATGAACACACAATAATATAGTTTATTACACACAATAATTAAATTTTTGCTCTATGCTCGGTTTAAACTAATTAAGAAACAATGTGGATTTCATGAAATCAATTAAATTATTCACTGATGAAGATTTTGGTGCTAAGATCTTTTAAAATTATACATTTGATTACAACAAAATTGAACACTTTAATAATTCAATTTCTAAACATCAGCTCAGGTTAATGCACAACATATCGACAATCACTAACAGACATAAATACAACGGAATAATTAGAAAATCCTCGCAATGGTTGTGGTAAATTTTCAACCTCCCTTACTTTTCTCGTTGAATCTAGCACCAGTGCTGAGACTATCAACAGCCTAATTTTATGCATAAGTTTTGTATCAAAAGATATCGCCTTAATTGAACTAATTCTATGGTATTATTATAAAATACCTATAAATTATAAATATATGAATGGCTAATTAGAACTAGACCATTGAATATTAAAATTGCAAATAACATCCATTATTTAATAAATATTCATATTAATCACTGCAGAGCCTTAGAGCTATGCAACTTGAGCAATTGCTATAGGATGCCCACAACTAGTTATAAATAAAAAAAAATAGAAAGTGTATGAGAATAAATAATTTTAGCATATTAACACAGTGACTTAATTAAAGACATCCAACGAAATATAATTGAAATATTAATTCATAAAAAACAGTTAAAGAATAAATTAAATTATATTTGGGAAAGATGACGTCATTGCCCAGGGGTGTTAAATGTCTAAGACTGGCACCCTGATATTAATTAACACTAAATAAAAAAGTTGAACACTTTGAAACTCACCTTTACAAGGACCAAGAGACTGAACTGCAATGTCTTTCTGATACTTGCAGGCATAAAGCTTAAGCTGACATTCTGATCCATAAGTTTGACCATCACTTCCGCAAACAACCTAAGATAGTTTAATTAAAATTAAAGATAAACTGTTTTAAATATATGTTTCCATGCTTTAAAGTACTTGAAAGAAGAACCCATATAAATTCCATGTCCATCAGTAAAGTACTTCAAAATAAAGGAAATAGTAGGATAAAAACTCATGATAGCATAATAAATTATTTGAGCTAAATGGATAAAGACCAGACATGAAATGCACAAGTCATTTATTCCTAGTATTAAGTTGTACCCCTCGCGCGGGCTCATTACCGCGTATGGGGAGCGTCCCACGGGTGGCGGATGTGGGGATGGTCAGTGGAAATTCCTTGGAAGTTCTTCCCGGCTAAGTCCGATGGACTCGCTGACCAACAATGAGAGGGGCCCTCCAGACTTGCTGGAGGGAGGGACCCTCCAGACTTGCTGGAGGGAGGGGCCCTCCAGACTTGCTGGAGGGAGGGGACCTCCAGACTTGCTGGAGGGAGGGGACCTCCAGACTTGCTGGAGGGAGGGGACCTCCAGACTTGCTGGAGGGAGGGGACCTCCAGACTTGCTGGAGGGAGGGGACCTCCAGACTTGCTGGAGGGAGGGGACCTCCAGACTTGCTGGAGGAAGGGGCCCACCAGATTTGCTGGAGGGTGTGACGTAGGATTGAACGCCCTACTCACATATCTTTAGTTCACCAAACACCACAAAAAGTCATGGATCTCCCTAAGGTAAAACGCTCATTATCCGGAGGTAAACTAGTCCCCCGTTCGGGTCTCCGGGTGGGGACTGCTTTAGGGGATTCATGGCGCAAGTTGAAATATAGGGATTTAAATATTGGTACGTGGAACGTAAGGAGTTTAAACACAGCAGGGGGACTAAAATCGGTCGCGAATGAGGTAAATGGGTACAATTTGGATGTCGTGGCTCTGCAAGAGGTTCGCTGGCCAGGGGAGGGCTCGATGAGGCAAGGAAAGTACACTATCTGGTACGGAGGAAGCGGGAATCATTGTTTAGGTACCAGGTTTCTAATTAGGAGTAGATTACTATCCGCTTTGAGGGACGTACAATTCTTTAGTGATAGAATTTCGGTAGCTACATTTCAGGGACGTTGGTTTAAAATCGCATTAATAAACATACATTGTCCGACCGAAGACAGTGACGATGAAGTCAAAAGTGAATTTTACGATAAACTCGAATGGGTTTATGATAAACTACCGCGAAACTACATGAAAATGATTGTAGGTGACGCAAAGGTAGGAAGGGAAGAAGTTTATATTCCGACGATTGGTAAAGAAAGTTTGCGGGAATATAGTAATGATAATGGGATCCGTCTGATAAACTTTGTCATCTCGAGAAACCTGATAATTAAAAGTACGACTTTTAAACATAAGGATATTCATAAATATACTTGGACATCACCGGATTCGCAAACACGAAATCAAATCGATCATGTCTTGATACAACACAGCTGGCAAAGCAGTATAATCAATGTACGGTCTTATCGCGGAGCAGAATGTGGGTCGGATCATGAATTAGTAATCGCGAAACTTCGACAAAAACTTAATATAAAAAAGAGAAAAGAAAACCGTTTCGATTTTGAGAATTTTAATTTGGAAAAATTAAAAAATCCATCAATTAGAAACCAATTCGAGCTAGATGTTAAGAATAGGTTTGAAGCTTTAGAGCTTCCTGACGAGGACCACGAGGATATTGACAAGTTATGGGTAGAGATCAGGGATAATATTAAAGCGGTCGGTAACTCGTGTCTAGGAAAAAAGGAAAATAAGAATAACAAACCGTGGTTTGATGAAGATTGCTTAAACATTGCGAAAAAAGAAAAGCCGCTAAATTAAAAGCTCTAAATAATCCTAGCGAAGACAATCTGGAATACTTCCGAATCTCAAAGAACGAAACGACAAAATTGCTCAAAAATAAAAAAAGGGAGTATCTTAAAAATAAAATAATTGAAATAGAAACTAATAGAATCGAAAATAACGTAAGAGACATGTAAAAAGGTATAAACAGATCACGTAAATAGGTAGGGCCCGTAACGTCTGGAATTAGGGATGATAATAACAATATTCTGACCGATCCGGTTGACATATTGAATAAGTTTAAGGACCACTTTGACAATATTTTAAATATGGGAAATTATGATCTGTGTCCTCCTGAGTACCAGAGTGCTGAACCGTTAATAGAAGGGCCAAGTAAAGAGGAAGTTGAAGTAGCTATCATAAAATTAAAAATCATTGAAAATTAAAATCATATAAAGCAGCGGGAATCGATAATACTCCTACTGAACTAATTAAGGCATGCGGGGAAGCTGGAGTTTCTAAAATACATCGGTTGGTTAAAAAGATCTGGGTGAACGAGAAATTACCTGAAGAATGGAAAGAATCTATTCTTATTCCGATTCACAAAAAGGGCCCGAGGACGGATTGTAATAACTATCGAGGAATTTCACTCCTTCCAGTATGTTATAAAATATTCACTTTAATCTTAACCAGTCGAATCACGGAATACGCCGAGGAATTTATCGGAGACTACCAATGTGGATTTAGACGGAATCGTTCGACTATTGATCAAATATTTTTATTACGGCAAATATTGGAGAAAAAATTGGAGTATAACGGTATTGTTCACCAGCTGTATATAGATTTTAAAAAGGCTTACGATTCTATTGACCGCCAGAAACTGTATAATATTCTAATCGAGCAGGGGATTCCAAAAAAACTAGTAAATCTAGTCAGGATGTGCTTGACGGAGACACTCAATAAAGTTAGAATCGGTAATAATTTGTCCGAAAAATTTGAGGTTCGTTCGGGCTTAAAACAGGGGATTCTCTTTCGCCTGTCCTGTTCAATTTGGCATTAGAACATGCCATTAGGGAGGTAATGCGAACCGAGAAAGGGTTGGATCTGGGCGGGACAACATCCGTGCTGGGCTATGCTGATGATCTGGTACTGTTAAGCGAAGACGTTGAAACTATAAAACTAAATACGACAACGTTAATGAAAGCCGGTAAAGGACTAGGACTCGAAATAAACGTGGATAAAACAAAATATATGGTTAGCTGCAAAAATGGCGATACTACTGGTGATATCGATATAGATGGTAATATGTTTGAACAGGTAGATAAATTTAGGTATCTAGGTTCTACGATAACTAGAAAAAACGAAATTGAAGAAGAGATTAAGGTTAGACTGAAGGCGGGAAATGCTTGTTATTTTTCTGTGACAAAACTACTTAGTTCGCGCCTCTTGTCCCGGAACTTAAAAATTAGAATCTATAAAATAATTATCTTGCCTACAGTTCTCTATGGATGCGAAACTTGGCCGCTTACATTAAGGGATGAGCAGCGTCTTAAGGTTTTTGCAAATAAAGTATTGCGTAGAATATTCGGACCGAAGAAGGATGAGTTAACCGGAGAGTTCAGACGGTTACACAACGCCGAATTGCGTGAGCTGTATCCGAGTAATATAATTGAGGTAATTTCATCGCAGCGAATCAAATGGGCTTGTAAAGTTGTTGGGCTTAGTAACGAGAGAATTCTTAAAAGGTTAATATTTGCTGTGCCGAATGGTAAGCGTCCGAGGGGTAGACCGAAGCGAAGGTGGGAAGATTGCATTAAAGCTGATCTGAAGGGACTGGGTTTGGACGGCGAACGGTGGAGGGAGGTGTGTAACAAGCGATTGGTGGTGTCGGCATCGAACCTTCGGGTTCGCTAAGCATTATTATTATTTTATTTATCAACACTTTTACAAAAGGTTTTTTTTTGTTTACTTGAGAGGGGCAATCTCGTGGTCCTTTGCGACAGGGTGGCACCACTTGCTCCGCCACTACCTGAAGGAAGCTGTCGAAGGTTCCCGCCTGGTGCAGCCTCATTCCCAGGCTCGTCCGAGGCTATACGTCGATTTCTTAGCTCCATTTTTGATGGGTGATTGCATTTTAAACCTTCTGCCAGGCCTTCCTAGGTAAGGTTGCCCTGGGGTGTGTACTGCAAATGTCCTTGGTGTCAGTGTATGTGGTATTGTGTACTGTGATGTATGTGTTTGTGAACGGTGGGATGTACTCAGGATCCCAGGGGAGCGTAAAACCCCAACAACTGCGTTCATCAGTTGCCCTTGCGGGTTATTATTATTATTATTATTATTAAGTTGTACCATTATATTGTCAGTTTATTACAAAAAGTCACTTGTACATTTTTGTTGGAGCTGAACGTTACTGTGAATTTCTAATGGATGAAAAAACACCATAAGTACACCGAAATGACACAAACCCTTTTATTTATAGTGACAGAAAACACACAGTTTTCTGATTTCCTTGAGGGAAAACTCATAAAAGTTCTTAATGATTTAAAGTTACGAAGTGCCACTTGATAACATTTTTCAATAAACCGGCAATATCACTAGTAAAACATAATCCAAAGAGGTATTGACAGATAATTATCACCCATGGAAATGACTGACAAAAACTATCCTGCTCCTAATTTTCAAGTCCGTAATATGCCCCTATAATATTGACATTATCAGTTGTTTATTTTTGAATACTAATACAGTAATCAAGATTTCAGAGTTTCTTGGGGGGATTTTTTTTTATTAAACACTCTAGACTCAATCATTACAGTTTATTACTAGAGAATATATGAACATAATAGGTGTGATATTATGTCTATTTCTTCTGTAGTTTTATACAAGATATCTTTGTCATTTTTCGATGTTTAAAATTGTCATTCATATTTAAAATAATGTTTTTTCATGCTAACATTAATGCTATAAGCTCACCACATATCTTAAACAATCATAACAATTACTTTATATCTTTAAAATTTATATAATGTATACCTGTTGCTTGTCATGATTAGGGCACGTGGCCGTGCAAACACAACTTGCTCTTCCACTCCTTTCTTCACAAACCGCCCCAAAATAACAAATGAGCTGAGAGCATGAGGTCGGTACAGGTGTGGTGACATCAGCTAAAAATCAAATTAACAATAATTCATTTATTAATTATGATCATAAAGTTAACTGGAATGGTCAATAATAGAAAGATTTTTTATTTAAAAAGAAATGCATTTCCATATGTTATTTGGTTTTTTTTTTATTGTTTAGTAATATTGGACCAACCTTGAACACATCCTGCAGGAGTAAGGATTTGCCCACTGATTGGACACATATCACACTTGTGGCCTGAAACGCCAGTTTTGCAAATACAACGGCCAGTCATTTGTTCACAGTCTTCTCTTACAGACCCGAACAAGGAACATCCACAAGCTAAAGACAAACATCGAGATAAAATTTGATAACTAAACACAGAGAATAAGTGTGAATGTTAAAAAAAAAATAATAATAAGGAAGGGGTGAATAAAATACAAATTTGGATAAGAATTTAAAGAAAAAAATTAATTCTAAGATAAAGAAAAAAAAAAGGTTCAAAAGAGAGAACACAAAAACATCAAGAAAAGTTATAAGAAAATAATAAATAAATGACTGAGTACACACAAAGCTTCAATGCAAATACCTGCAAGGGTGCCCAGAAGGGTTTTTGAGGGGAGAGCACATTTTGACAGAATTTTAAATTTTTGAGGGGAGCACATTTCGCTGGGATTATCAATTCTCGAAGTGAAAAGTTTTAAACAAGAGAAGGGGAAAAACATGTACCAGACCATAGCAAAGGTAATTATACATAATCTAAGTTTTTTTAAATTCTATTTTTGGTTGCACTGTTTTTTATAAGGGGAAATAAATAAAATTTTTTGAGAGGGAGTGGAGGAATTCCTGCGCCATCGACTTTGGAAGGGGATGGGCACCCCTGAATATCTGCAACAAATGCTTGCTTTATATCCCTCTTCAAATTCATGCTCCTTTTCCTTGGATTACTGACAGATTGTATATTAATCCACTTTTTTACATTATTTTTATGATAATGCATCTCATTTATAGTTTAGTGCAGTAGACTATATGATATGTAAACAAAACCCAATTTTTTTTTTATGATAAGGACTAACTAAGAGACCGAAAAAGTTCAATACCAATATCACCAACAACCCCAAATACAATATAATACCCAAATAAAGAAGGCAAGCCTAAACACAATAGTTTTACCTAAATTTTGGTGTGCCCCAAGATTCAGCCTAGTTAATCTTTTTTACTAAGTCATCAAGCACAATAAACTTTTCATGTTTTTTTTAAATTTCAATTGTTCTGATTTTATTACTGTAATTATATTTATTAGGTATATACCTCCTATTTTATTTCCAGCATTCTCAACACTTTCCTTTAATGATATTGTGGTGTTGTTGTTTCTTAATTATTAAGCCACATTTTGCAAGATTGGTAATTCACAAATAACTTGGAAATATATTAGAGAAGTCAAACTCTAATCACTTTCATTATAGTTTAAAATTACTCAAAACTGCCCAAATGAAAACTCAGTTTATTCATTTTTTTTTTCATATTCAGATGTGTCCTTTAATTGATGATTTGTTTTCTTCCTTCACATTGATAATTTGTAGACTTCCTTAACCGATTGAACAACCTAAGTAAAAGATACTTTTTCACAGAGTTATGGATACCACATAACATCTCCTAAAGAGAAGTTCTAGGCTCAGAAAAAAAATAAGGAAAATGAATGAATAATATTACATTCATTTGTGATCTAAGCGATTTTTTTTTTTCACAATAAGATAGCTTATCAGTTAAATAAGTTATTATGTTTTCATGTCAGAGTCTTTTTATTTGTAATTGTGTCAAAGGAAGGACTATGCTATAACAGGTGTTATTGTACAAAAAAAAAAACTTTAGAAAGGTATTATGAACTGCATGATAATTAAAAAAAACTAAAAAAAGAAATGGGTATAGATAAATTTTAAGTATGCTTACGCAAACATCCTTTATATCCAGATGATATTTTTGGCAAGCCCCAGTAACCTGGCTCGCATCTATCACATTTAGGACCTCCCACACCAGGTCTACATTCACAAGCTCCAGTCTCCTTATCGCACCAATCGGAGTATGAACCTTATAATAATACGATTTTTTAAAACAACATAAAATAAAATTAGCAAGACAAAATAAGGCTATATAAATGATAATTTCACTCCGTGGAAACAAGTTTATTTGTTTCACTGCAGTGAAACTTTCAATTTTTCAATAATATTATGTTAAGGACTTCTGGATAACAAAGCCATGATGCAAGTATTTTGGTCAAAAAGTTTCTCAAGCAATACTAAAAAAAAAAAAAAATTGTCAGAGTGTAAAGATGACTCGACCAGAAAATTATGAGATATTTAATGCCTTGTAGTCTACTGAAACTGGTATAAATTATACTTTCATAAAGAAATCAGAACCTAAGATATAAAATTAAAACCTTTGAGAATTCTGTTTTCATTATTAGGACAGATTAGACCCATATTCCAAGCCTCAGGTATCCTTACCTCTTCCTATTTTTTCTTTATTGGTTGTAGTAGCCTGGCTCTTAAGTCATCTCCTCCATCTTTAAACAGTTCAGATGTTAAGTTTTCTATCCTTTCTTGTTTTGAGCCTTTCAATAGCTATTTCTACATACAGTATATCTGGTTTTTCAACCTTTCTTTTCTGGGTCAAGGTTCTCAGCATGGTCCATGTCTTCATGGATTGTTTGTTGGGTCCCCTTGATTGAGAAGTTTCTGGAAATGTTCTTTCCAGATGTCAATATAATTTCTTTAGATGCCGTCAGAATGCCATATCTTCCTTGCATTTGCGTATTTCTCACTTTATATCCTACCCTTTCTTTCCTAATGTCTGCGTAGAATTCGCGTATATCTCCAGTCGGCCAGTTGTCATCAATGGTTTGCAATCTTTCTTTGAGGAATTCCTTTTTTGCCAATATTATAGTTTTGTTTGCCTTGTAAATAATGATTATAAAGTTTCATTTACTTGTTTAGTTTAATATGTAAAATAATATAAAATTATCTCAACACATATTCATCCGGTAATGTTTTGTTGGTGTCTCTTTATCACTATTTGGTAAAAATTAGAATTTAATTTATTTAGAATTAAAAGAACAAGAATCTTCTAAATTTAGGTCAGAGACTAACAAAAGTAACTTAGAGGCACTGATGACCTTAAAGTTGTATGCCTTAAGGCGCTAACAAAAAAAACAAGAATCAATTATTTTCTGTAATATACAAATGACGGATTTTGGCCGTTTGTGATTGTTTGTGAAATGAAAAATTTTCATAACACGAATATGTGTTAATGTATCTTAACAACATATATATATATATATATATGGAGGCTGGGGTAGCCTGCGGGCTAAGGCGCTTGCAATAGGTGATCAAAGTTAAGCAATGCTGAGCGTGGCAGGCAATTGGATGGGTGACCATCCGCCAAGGAAAGCTGCCAACGCTGCCAGAGATTCCTTCTCTCTCCCCCGGTATTTGAGGCCCATCAGCCGACTGGAGGCAACTCACACTGATCGAGCGTAGGATTGATGACCCTACCACAAACTTTAAATCGGGAATCGGGATGTGGTCTAGGAGGCCACACTCGCGGTCAAAGATCTTCATGGTTTGTAGCGCCAACAGAAAATATATATATATATATACTAAAAAAAAGATACTTAATAATAATTACTTACCTATTTTATTACAACCACACATTGAGGGACAGCCTTCATTATCTGGCCCCTGAGCTGGTGTTTTACCATCTGGGCAGCAACCAAACCAGCTGTCTGCACAGTCCTTCAAGTAAACTCCTGATTCTAGATTGTAAATTTCAGATTAAGAAAACATTTTGTGACAATATATTTTGAGAATGGTAAGAACATGTAGATATCTAATAATTCATAATGTCATTTTTGTAAGTACATATTCAAAATATATAAATAATTTAAAAAAAATAAATTAAGATCAATGATGTAGGAATTATCACAAGTAAAAAATCACATTTGATATAAAAGTAAACTTTCTTAGCCTAAGAGCTTCTGTTGATTCTATCATTCTGACACATAATTAACAATTTTTGTTTAATGAAAATAAATTATTCGGGATTTAAGTCCAATGGGGAAACTTAAAGATTAATGAAGTTTAAAGTAAAATATTTAGGTACTTACTTCCCTATTGCTAATTTGTACTTACAAACTCTCCATTCCTAAAAATACTATTACACAAGAGATAGGACAAGAACAGAGGTTTATGGAAGGATAAACTGAATAATATTAAAGTTTTGGAAATACGATTTAATACAATTTTAGTATATTAAAATTAAATCTCTTTTTTATTCAGTTCTAAGTAATGTTTAAAAAAATAAGAAACAACGCTGTTTTTGATAAGGTTTAAAAATATTAAAGAAATTACCTTTACGACAGCATTTAGCAAACTGAGGTGTCTGATGACAATAGTAATCAGATGGACAATCCTGCCTGTTGTGCCCATTTCCACAATCTAAATCTTCACCAGTTGCTGGGTCCCTTAAGGGGGAATCACCACCGCATGGTTTAACTTCCATTCCTAAGAAACAATTAAAAGATTTATTTAAATCATTAGAAGATTATTTTGGGTTTATTAAAAACACAATACATTTTTATATGTAAATCTAGGATTGTCAAGTTTCATAAGAGTATTACTATCAATATTATAATTTTATGATATACCTACGAAATTTATTTATTATGCATCTATATACTCAAACTATATATATATACATATATAGTTAAACTAAGAGGAAGTATAAATTTAACTTTAATTTAATTAGCATTTAGTTAACCCACGTTGTAGGAAGATAACAAAGAAAACAGCTAATAAAAACATTAGGTATGATTATTATGTGGATATAATCGATCTTAAAAAGTTTAATTAAAAACCTTTGCATAAATCTAATGGCCTGATCCTGATTTCTATCTGTTTAGCACAAGCTGCAGCTTCCATATCGCATTTACTCTGGTAAAGGACCAAGTCAGAACCACACACAGGCTGACCTCCAGGTGGACAAGAGAATCTGTAATCATTTTAAAATAAATTATAAGTTTTCTATAATATATATATAGTTTTGAGTTGTATGATCTCAATATATTAAATCGTCTCCATCAACTGTTTAATGAAGAATTAACTAAGTACCTGCAAGCACATCGTGGATAACCTGAGGGATCTAATTCACAAGTTGCTGAAAATTGGCACCTAACTCCTCGGCAGGCTTCTTCGGGGTCTGGACCACCGGGTAATGGTGTTGCTTAAAATAGGAGAACAGAAACTTATTAATTAAATGAAATGTGAAAGAATTTATTGATGTTTCATCACCTGATAAGTGAGAATTTTCAATAGCATCCTAATTCATTGAATTAAGTTTATTCAACTTACTGTACGTGTGAATTGATCCCCGATGCTGGCAGCTACCATAAAATAGTACTTCGATTCGATTACCAGAGTCTTGCATTTCACAAGAATGTTTTAGTAGCTCACATTGACTTGGATATGTAACCAAATCTGATCCACAAACTTGTTCAGTTGGAGCAGAACTACAATCGGTAGGACACTCATCTAAAAAATAAAAAATAGAATTATTGATTCAATTTGATGTTTCTTCTTATTTTGAATATTGGCAGAAAAATGTGTTAAATTATTGATTGAGTATCGAGAAAGTAAAGAAGGTGATGGGACTGTTTCTATTTACAATAAAATTTAATAGAATCTCCTCAGAAATCAAATTGGCTTAAAGGAGTGGAATCAGAGGAATGACTATGATATGACCCTCAGATCTCCAATACTATATAAATAATACCTCCGAGAATAAATTATCGCAATAAATATGATAATCAATATAATTCAGGCCAAAGAACATGTGGACAGGAAAGAAACTCCAAAGAATTATAAGATTATTAAGGGTAAATGGAAAGAGATTAGACCAGGTGGATAATTTCTTATGTTCAGGTCTAAAAAATAAATGGTTATATCTATGTGCCAGTGTTTCGGAGAATAGGAGTAGCTGGCAGAGTGTAAAGTCTGTTAAAGAGGGATTCTCTCGATAAAAGAGAAGTAACAAAGAAAACCAAAGCAGCTATCTGTAAATTAATGTTTTTCTCAACACTTTTGTAGTCTTCTGAGCAGTAGACCCTTACTTTCAAACACAAAAGCCAAATTTGATCCATGGAGATTTGATCCAGTCACATACTAGAAGAAAATTCCATCAAGATCAAGTCTGGGAACATCACCGTACTATTGGATGGTGTTAACTATACAACATAGTTAAAACAGTCGAGAACGTCATAGAGGAGTACAAACTACAGTGTTCAGACACCTCCTGAAGATGGATAACGAGAGAATTGTCAGGAAGAACTGTGTGGAGGAAAAGAGACCAAGAAGAAGACCCCATGTCCAATGGAATGAATATGAAAGCCATTCTGGGAAGTGAGACCATAGATTGAAGTAGGTGGAAAGAGTTGGACCAAGACCGAAACACTGGATTCAAACTTTTTAAGTGGTAGCCTCACACTGTATAAGTGCATGAGATGAAATAACAAGATGATTATTTCTTAAGTAGTGCTAAAACTAAATTTTCTAGTTACCTCATCTTTCATTGGTTAAATGGGCTAAACGATACTTTAATTTTTGGAATAGTAAATATGGTATATTACTTCTCCTTTACACCTATATAGCCAAACTCATTGCGGTTTCTACTTTTAACTATAAATTTTGTATTCATTTATTTTAATTTTTTATCATTAATTAGATTTATAAAACTATTTTCTTATACTTTCCGTCACATGTTCACTGATTTAATAGATTTTCTTCTTAACTTAAAAAGTAAGTAATAATTGTTTGTTTGAAGGTAAAGATATATTTAAATGAATTCAATTAATTACAACTCAATGAAAACACATTCATACTTATTTCTGTTACATGTTATGGATATCATTTCTAAATACAATTTATGTATAATCTGCTGACACATACACTTATTTAAAAAACACTTACCACAATGTCCTCTCTTTGAGACGCGGATTGGGATTTTGTTTCTGCAAGAAACCTGTTTTAATTCACATTCACTGGCATATGTTTTCCTGTCACTGCCACAAACTTCTTCAGAGTTTGATTCCTTAAAACAAATAAATTAACTAGTCAATAAACTATAATTAAATGAATTATTAATAAATAAATATTTTGAATATATCTCTTTTAATCCCAGAACTTGGTATAACAAAAAAAAATATATCATTCTCTCATTATAAGAAAATTTGCACAGAATACTTATTGAGTTGTTTATAAAGAAATTAAAATAAAATAGAATATTTTTAATACCTCCGAGCAATTGCTTTGACAAACACAATTGGCTTCTCCGCCAGAGTCAATCTGGCAAACAGCATAAAACTCACATTTTTTGTTCTCACAACCATCTAAAAGTTCAAGAGAGAAAGAAGTCAGAATCTAATTTGATGACAAGAATTACAATCTAAGGCTAAAATGATAGGTTATAACAAAGTTGTAGACAATTTAATAAAAAATATTATTCTTTGGATATATAATTGTATCAATGCATAATTATACCAGATTTTTAGAATTATATTATTTCTCATATTACTAAAAATAAAGATCGACTTACTGCAAAGACCCTTATATAGCACATTTATTGGCTTGTTGTGGGTGCAGGCCTGCCTTTGAAGCTTGCATTCATTACCATAAGACACTCCATCTGACCCACAGACAGGATCATAGTCCCCAGGGCAGCCATTGCACTCACATTTAGCAGTGTCCCCAGTTTCTACACACTTGGAGTGTGGTGGGCACACCTTCTGCTTGCATGGACCTTCAGCACCTGTCACATTCATTTACAATTTAATTCATGAAAAGTGAGGTGCACACTTCACAAAACAACTTAATCTAATAATAAATATAGGAATACGTTTCCATGTATGTACTCAAAAAGTAAATGGTGTTAACTAATATGTTGCCAACTTAAACTAAACACAATAACAAAATGTAATCTAATGTTAGGGCTCCACTTAGCGTTGATTATATTTTTAGTTATTTGTTGATCATCCTCCTTAAATTTACACACCCCTTGAGTCATGTAACGTAAACTATAATCATTGGCAGTAATTCAAGCAGTCTACAAATAGATGTTGTCTGCTAATACTGCAAAGTATTATTCCATGGATGGTTACATTATCTCTATATTATAAGCAATACCATCCACTATTAGCCTCTATATTTTCCCTTATGGATCATAGCATAAATTGTTTTCCTCAATATATCATCGCAACTTTAAATGAATTCGTTTATATTAAAGTATTTTATAAATTGAATGGGTTTTAGGGACCATTCTTTCATAGTATTCTGTAATAATATTTCGCTTTTCCCTGTTGAACGGAATCATTTCTTGGGACTTCATCTACACTAGCATCTTACTTGGAATCCTTAAATAAGTATATATTTTTTGTATGCCTCTTGACTTCCGCCATGAGTATTCTAGCAGCTTTGTGCTGCTGTAGGCTTCAGCTGTGATCGTTAGGTTCTCTTCCAACGTTTAATTCTCTTGAATATGCCCAGAGAGATGGTGGTTTACAATAACAGGACGCGATCACCATTACTCCCCCTTCAACAGACACTTGTTGAAAGATGGTTGTCAACTCTTTGCAGAAATCTCCCCTCTGCTTGATGTACCTCCCGAGTTCCTCGAACCCGCTTTGTCATATGTTTGACGAGGTCACTTCATTGTTGTCGAATAAGTTCTTTTTGCACATTTTAATATAATTTTCATTGTTGGCAATAAAATAAGCGGTACATTTCACGATCATATATTTCCTGTGGAAAAATAACTGAATATTTAATAGTGACACTTATTTCATAACATTGACCTTACTGCTCGAAATCGGCACAATGTTTACTATCTGATTTGGATTTCTTCATATTTGATGTTTGATGAATAGTATTACTTTATGTATATAACGAATTATATACTATACCTAAAACAATTTTAATGACAAGAAACTGCTCGAAGTTTCTGGCTATTTCAGCACTTACTAGCCAGATGCTCCAAGCTTCCAATAAATTACGAAAGGCTCATTCAAATGACTAAAATGAGGCCTATTTGGAATTACGGAGTCACGGAGTCTAGGAATTTCACTAAACCATCTAATCCCTCTCGTGTAAAATCCAAAAATTCAAAAACGCTACTTACTTTGTCACAAATAAAATAATCCGTATAAAAATAATAAAATAATACGTTGTAGATTTGACCCCAATTCAGGTATTGGGGTAACAGTTACATTCCATATTAAACTTAGTCTCATCCGAATACATAAGTGCTACTGATGGGTAGTTTCTGCAAATGTCTAGTTATGTCATTTATCAGATGTATATTTATGTTTCAATACAGTTGTACAGTTCAATTTAAAAAAAATATATTGTTTCTCTAGGAAAGACAACATGAAATAAAGTCCTTTTCTTCTGGACTTAAATTCCATACATAAGAGATTATCCCCACATACATTACAGTAAGGCTTGAAATCGGTTTTTTACCAAATATAAGCTCCTGCCATGCTCAAATACCATGAATGGGGTACCGTTGGATTCAGAATTTCACGGAGGATTAGCGAATCGTATTCTTTTTGATTTGATTTTCATTCTTTCTTCTTCCTTCGGAACTATCGGATCCTGCGTTTTTAAGCCCAAATAAGTACTATTTTCGATAAAACGCAAGGCATAGGGTTCGCATCCTCATAACCTTACGACAATTGCAGTACTGTCATTGTCATTGCAGTACATGTCTCATTTCGTCGACTTGAGGTCTCTATGATCGAGAGAGGAGGAGTTTATATTATTTATCGATGGTGTTTTTGATCGGCAAGCCATATCATCGTTAATTCTTCACCAAATCTCAAGATTGAGCCACCAATTTCGAAGGTTTCCTTCTCCTTTAGGCGGGCAAAATAGTCCAATCACCCCCAAAATTCAGCCAAACAAGTTATGATAGAAAACAAAAATTTATTTGCGAATAACTAAAAAATTACACATTTTCCCTTTGATTATGCCCACGATTATATAAAAGATTACTAAATTCCCTACAAAAGGAAAAAAAAAAAATCCAAATCGGACAATTTTTAGAAAAGATGACATTTGGAAACATGCTGGATCCATACATTAATGAAGATTTAAATTAATTTTTCTTTTTCTTAGTCGATTATATTTATCGATAAAGTAACAATTGATCTATTTATCTTTTGATACGTTGCATTATTTTATTTTCTTATTAATTTGTCAATTGATAACTATATACTGTGCCACTAGCGGATCCAGGCTTCAATTTTTTGGGAGAGGGGCTTCAGCCCGGAAGTTTTCTTTTTTCATATATATAACATTAATTACTTTGTAAAAACAGAAAGATACTAATTACCTATATGAAATGGTGTTTAAGTGATTCTTGAAGTCCGATTAAATGTAATTAAACGAGTAATATTACTTTAAGACATATTTTTTTAATATTTTTTACCATAAAACATGGTTACATTTTACCATTTAGTGGGGGGGGGGGCTTCAGCCCGAAAGCGCCCCCGTAAATCCGCCTGTGTATTGTGCGAATTTTTCGCACGGGCCTACTAGTAATTTATAATTGCAACTGTATGTTTTCTCCCTATTCTAATTTTCCAAAATAAAATTAGTATTTGAATTGGTTCCATAATAAAGCTACTATTCAGCCCCAGGTGTAATCCCTCGGATATATCCTGTTTACAAACAAAGTGAGAAATAGTGTTCTTTGTTGAGCCTATAGCGGAAGTAGGGCATCCTGCCGAAGAAGGCCGACCAAGGGAGATCTAGGAGCTCTCGGCAGTCACCTCTCTCAGCCCCAGTTTATGGGCAAATTAAACCCCTCCCGGCTGCCCCATGTTCCATTACCTCTCTCTGAATATAGCAAAGCCTTGGGGAAATACGGGAAAAGGGATCCGCTCTGCTTTGTAAGGGGACTTTCTCCCAATTTATTGTCTAGTATTCCTATTTTGTAAATTTATTTGAAATGAAAGTTCTTATAAAAATTATTTTTTATCTCAATCATTTCAAATCTGAAATATCGCTACTGTTAGTGCAAAAGATCGTATGTAACAATTTTCTATGTTAATTCTATATGTGGTAAAGGTGATACTTTGTAGTATGAAACTGCAATAAATAGTCTGCTACCATGGAAAATAGTATAGGGAAATGAAATATGAAATTATACTAATAAATAATAAAGAAATAATTAGATTTTATGCCATTTTGTAAATAAAACTTAATTTTTACATACCACCTTTTGCACTAACAGTAGCGGTATGATTCCAAATTTTATTAATTATAAAAATGGAATTACAAGATTAGGAGGATTTTTTTTTTTTAATGTGTTCTCTAAAATATAACAAACAAATTTATTAGAAACTCATTTTATCACATGTAATTATTTTTGTCTTAAACTCTTATAAACTCATTTCTTCTTTTAAAATCTAATTTGTGAGCTATGGGGCTCCACCAAACCTTCAAATTCCTCTCGTATCCAATCCTTACAATCCAAAATCCTTCATAAAATCCTCAATGCTCCTTACTTTGTTACAAATAAAATCATCCATAATGACCTTAATGTTCCTTATGTATCAGATTTGGCCCAATCCAGATATCTGCCCTTCCATAATAAACATCATAACCATCCCAACCCTCTTGTTTCTAATCTTGCTTCCTATTCAATTCCTGATAAGCCTCCGAGGCGTATGAAAAGAAGATGGCCACGTGATCTCCTAATATAGACATATTATTAGAGTGCTACCAATGGGTAGTTTCTGAGCATGTGTTTCATGTCATTATATCCATGTGCGAATTTACCAGATGTATTTTTTGTATACAGTTGTAAATATCATATAAATAAATAAATAAATAAAAAAAATCTAATTTTAAAAAAGACAAAACTAAAAGAATTGATCTCTATAAATTTGCCCTCAGCATCATAGAAAATTGAAGATGATCATGATTAAAATATGAGTTTTGAATAAAATCTTTTTAAATTATTTTATTATAAATGACATTATTATTATATGGAATTTTTTTCCATAGGATCACAACATATTTCGATGGCAACTTCCTGCTAAGGAACAATATTCTATTATTTATGTGCTAACAATATTTCATATTTATTTTGCAAATATGTACATATTGAAGTTCCGGCAACGACCAGATTCTCCACTCCAGAGTGTACATGTGGTTATAGCTGTTTTGTACAATATCCACTGGCTTTAAGTACCAGTGATACGATTGGGATAATAGCGCTAGGATCTCCTTGAGTTATACTTTTCCCTTCACAGGTGAAGAGTATACCCGTATTTAAGGTTTCATTTTATTACACTAACTTTTAAGTTTATTTTATTTTTATTTATTGTATATATTTTTTGTTTCCATGATTATAATTTTGTTCATAATTTATTTATTTACATTTTCTTTAAATAAGGTATGAATGAGCTCTCTTCTCACTATAAGTACTGTCTTTAGGGTAATAGAATGTTATATTACTCAATGAATTTTCAGTCTGCGGACAATAATCGAATTTTCCAAAAAGAAATAGAGTAATCTGTTTTTGTTATTAGACGCTCCATATTTCTCAATTTATTGTATTTATTTCTATTTTATCTCGATACAGCTGCTGAAACCGCAAGTCGGAGATCAAACTATAGTGAGCGATCAGATACATATCCTCGACACCATGCTAAAGTAACGAACTTGCCTAACGTTGCACATTCGTTAATTTAATATGGTGTCGACGACATATCGTAAGCTCTAAACGATTTTTATCGTGTGATAAGCAAGGTTCAAGACAATGCTTAGTGATTCAAGCGATAAGCATGAGAAGTTTCGTTTCATCCTGAGATTATCGACGAATGAAAACGAAGTTGGGAAGCTGCCTCGGTTTCCGTCCAAAGTGCATCAGATGAGTCCAAAATATTTTAAGTTCGTGTGCCAACTATCAGCTCACCTAGAGAAGCTCTTTGGACTAGATAGTTTGTGGTTACGAAGCTCTCCAAAAGATTTCATCTATGATCGATAAGTCAACAGGATTGAAGACCACACGGGTTACGCGTGGTT